CCCCAAAACCCCAAAACCCCAAAACCCCTTATTTTGGCTTAATATTTGAATTAAGAGGGCTTAAGCATTCTAAGGTATTTTCTCTTCTTCTTCATCGCCTAGGTCCATATCTCTGCTAAGCTCTTCAGCACTGTTGTTGAGATCTCTCGTATTATTTATCATGTTGGTCATGGTTATGCCTCCATTGGCCAACGCTGGGAAGATCTTCGCCCTTCTATTAAGGAGATCAGACTAATAGTAACCAGAAACTGGGAAAATAGAAATTCTTTTCTTTTTGTCGATGATAGGAATAAGTTAAATTAATTTTAGAATTTGAAGTATAATCTAAAATTTACTGTAGAGAGCTTTAAGTAAAAATTTGGAATTTCTAATTCTCATAAAACTTACATGGATTCCTTAAATCTGGTCAACAAATGATTCGTATTTCTGACTGTCCTTAACTTCTGAAGAGACTGGATATGGTCTTGGATAGCATCATCAGATGTGATAGGATTTGATCTGTTGTAATCGGTTAAGAATTCATTTTTGTATTTTTCAAAAGTTGCTTTTTCATCTCTCTTCACCTTTGTTTGAAGATCAAGATAAGCGAGCACTGGGGAAACTACTAACACTGCTAAAATCATCATTCCTAAGGGAATCCATGGAAGCTGATTTTTACCCTCAGAAAGTGTTTGGATGAATATAAATTGGCCAAGAGAATAGAAGAACAAGCATAATGGGATAACACCGATGAACATTATTGCCATTTGCTCTCCTAATTCTTGAGGAATCTTTCATCTTCTTAACAACACATATTTCTCAACCCAATATTTATAAATCAATCCAAAGAATGAAATTATTGCAAGCAAGGGGATCAAGGGTGTGTAGAAGCATGTAATAATCAGGATTGATACAGAAGTTGCATAGTAATATGGAGGATTCCAATCAACCCCTTCTGCCAATTGGTTCGCTTCCCTTTGAGTCATTGAAGACTTTTCTCCTTTCCTTTCTTCATACCAATATCTAAATTTTCTCCAAAAATGAACTACATTGAAGAGACTAAGGGATGGAGTAATGAAATTGATGGCTAGTAGGATAAAGAACATGTCAATAGCTAGCCCACTTCTCCCAAACCAGCGCTTCTTACCCAAATTAACAATCAGGGGTATCACCCCAGTGTTGATAACCACTCACACAGTCAATTTTACAGACACTGTTAAATTCATTTTTGTATAAGTCTCATGTCTCTCAAACTGAGAAATATAGCGAATGACTTTGAACAAAATAGTGTTATTTATAGCAATAAATATAGAAGAGATGAAAGATATTACAATTATCATTGCATATATTCTTGTTTCATTATTATTTGAGCTGTTTACCTCATCATCAAGAGCATCTCTTGCAAAGGATAATCCCAAATTAATGGCAAAGACTATCGCTAAGCAGATGAAAGCGACCCCATATGTTGCAAGGCTTCTCCAGAATCTTTCATTAGGTTTGACTGCCATGTTCTCCCAGTATATATTAGTTGGCTCGGCTGCTCTTTCTATATCAATTCTTTTGCCGTCCCACCATCTATCATCTTGGAAGCGTTCACTTTTGACTTTAAGCCACTTTAGAACTATGTGGTTATAAATTCTCCGAATAAGTGATCTTTTGAATTCATTGATCAAATTCTCAGGGTCAGCTTGGTTGTTGAAGACAACAAAGGCTTTGCCAGTGAATTGATCCTTTGAATTATCATCTAAGATTCTCTGCTTAATATCCCCAACATTCTTTTCCTTTTGTTTAATCTCCTTGCGGAGTTGGTTCTTGGTGTACTTCATTTTCTGTTTTTGACTTAATAAGTCATAGTTCTGAACTAGTTTATTTAAGATCAATTATCTTTTGAATCTCCTTAACTTCGGAGTGAATATCATAGCACAAGTTTATATCAATTACTTCTTTTTCATCTGTTTCGACATGCTTGCAGAGCCATGTTTTTAAGTCAGCTTTATTTTTGTCATGGGGAATATTGGATACCATTACAGTGAAATCAGCTGGAGATATTAGACCCTCATCTATCTTGTTTATGAAGTCTTTTTGAAATTGTTGGAAAAGAACATAAGAAATAAAGATGGCTGTCAAGATAATTGTGCTGATAATGATCATTATATTGACATCTCCAGATTCATATCTGTTCGCTATTTTCCCAATATTCCCAATGGACACTCTAATAATAAATGGAGCATTTTCATCAGGTCCCATCCACTCCTCTCCATTATCAGGATTGGAATACAGGACCAAGCCGACCACAGAGATTCACAGCACGATCACCGCATAGATGCAGCCAATGTATTTCTTGAACAGGAAATACAAAGGGTAGCCAATACCAAGATCCTCCAGGATCTTGGTATCCTGACACAGAGGATACAAGGGCTGGGTGTTAGTGGTGGGCATCTTTCAACACTGTCAGTAATACCTCTTATCCTGAATCTTCCCTTTATTGTCTTTATTACTATCCAAGTTATTTTACTCTCTGAGCATTCTGATGGATCCGAGCATCTTCAAAATTTGGGGGAATCTTTTCAAGATCCTCTTCCTCTATTGCTGACGCAATACTCAAAGTATCAGAAGGGCCAAAATCAGAATTGTCTCTTACGGATAGATGTTGATCTTCTTTTGGATTAGTCGGATAGTTACTCCTACTATCTTTTCTTGTACCTGACTTAAATTCATCTTGTCTGCTCTTGTCATTGATGGATTGAAGAACTGTAATGCTATTATCTTCACTCAATTCCTTCGTTTTCTTATCTTCTTCCATAGTTTAAATATAATTCGAACCTATTATTAACTCAATTTTATTTATCCTTCACGGGGTTTTGGGGTTTTGGGGTTTTGGGGTTTTGGGG